GAGAGAGAGAGAGAGCGTGTTGGCGTGTTGTTCTCTTCCAATAAATCGGCCAGCTTTAGGAGCGCGGCGCGCGGTTACTACTCCTGCCACTGTCGCGAAACGCTCTCGAAAAAAGGGGGTTCGGGTACCAAAGGCGCGAGGCGTGAGAATAAATCGATTCGCGAACGACGAGCCACGGATTCGCGGCCACCAGTAAACGCGCCACCGATGACGGAATTAAAATAGATACAGGAGTAAATTTTCGAAGCATCCAATGCGCGGCGCATCGCGTATTCTTCTAGTGGGAGGCGCTAAAATTGGAGATGCGAGTAGCGAGTTTTGTCGTGCCGCACCTCCTTCCTTCTTCCTTCTCCATTTCCAAATAGTCCTTTCGACCGATAAGACGATCCGCCGAACGCCGTCGCTGTGATTATGGCTCGCGATCCGAGCACGCGATCTAGCAGCTGGCAAACGACCATCGCGACAGTTTCGCGATAAAGTCGCGATAAAGTCGCTTGAAGCAGATTTCTCGGCGAGCGGAAGAAAGAGATGCCCACTCATCGATTGCGAATCGGTCGATCGTTAGCCGAGTACCTTATTCTCGCGGTGTGCATCGTGTCGTTGTCAACGAATCTCGCGCGAGTCGAAGGTAAGCGAGCCACTTGTCACCGCTCTCGTCGCTGGCCTGCCTTAATTCTAATTGGCGCAAAGAGATGTTCATTAATGATGACCGTCGAGAACGACGAGCGTGGTTAATTAATTAAATATTTTTTTCTACGGGTATGCAGCGAGCGCGTCCGACTTGTAATCCATTCGTAATCCATAACTAATGTGTAAAACTGGATCGCGGATAGAAATGAGAAAATATATTTGGTGTATACTATTCATAGAAACTTTCTTATAATTTCCCCGTAGTAATCAAAAGATAAAATTTTACCAAGTTAATCCTTGAAGAGCGAAGAGCTTTTAGACAAGGATTAACTTAAATTCTGATATTTCATAAATTGGCAATTTGTCTCTACTTGTCAAAATTGCTGTTGACAAAATCTATAAATTATTATGTATAATTATATACCGCTTTATATTTGTAACTTCAGATTACGAGATTACGTTTTGTAGGAAGGAAATGCATATGTACGAGCAAAGCGTGCAAAGAAGCTGGCGTAAATACTTGTAGAACGAGATTCTTTTGCTATACCGAACTTATTCTGACAACAGGATACGAAATCGGACAAGAAAGCACGACTACGCGAGGATGCACAGAGTATGTATATCATTTATTAATATTTAACAAAAGTTGCGTGTACAAGCGGATATATCCGAAACACTCTTTTGCAAATTTAAAAAAAATTAACGATACAATCGTGACAACATTTCAATTAAAAAAGGAATATAAAGCTTCTGCAAAAATATTTGGTATTAGTTTTCATTTATTTCGAATAAAATGCCAAAAACAAGATATTATGTCTTTTCACAAACAGGATTTAATTTGTCGCTTTTTATCAGAGTTTGATCAACACTGTAATATAAATTCAGGAATGTCATGGCATGCGTATTATAACCTTGACGAGATAATCGAGCGGAAAGGTTTCCATGATTTTTGTTAAATGCCTCATTAATATCACTATCTTGATTGCTACTTTAAAAACAGCAATTATGACAAGGATTCGTTCAACAAAATCCGGATATTATGTTAATAGAATTGTCGCCGGTACTCTTTTTCCTTTGTGTTTTTGTAAAAAATCTTGCTGTCCAGCTGGAAAGTGAAAAAATTTATCGTTAAATTTATCGTAAAATATCAATAGTTGATAATTTGATTTGCAAAAGTTGCATTTTTGCGGGATAGTTTAATGACATTGGCATAAGCACCGCTAAAGATCATTCGATCGTCAGCTATCGACGACAGGCGGGTTCATAACCCTTTATCACAATTAATATTTAAACAATATCACACGCAGGGGTGCCACGCCATTGTTGTGCGAGACAAAGTCCTGGATCACGAAGTCGCGATCGGCCAACGCCATGGAACCATCAGCGAGTCCTCGGGTTCTCGTGCCCTGGCCCAAATTGAAATGTTGCAACAGCCACGATTACTGCAACGCCGATAATGATGATGATGATGATGATGATGATGATGATGATGATGATGATGATGATGATGATGATGATGATGACGATGGCGATAACAACGATGACGACACTCACAATGATGATGATGATGATGATGATGATAACGATAAGAATGCGAGCACGTGGACGCACGAGAAAAAGATTCGAACGAATCAAACGCGTTTTACGATGGATCGCGGAACACCGATGAATGGCCCACGAATGTCAACGAATAGCGATACAACGTTGCAGCCTGATCAAAAGCACGATCGAAAATACGAGAATTCGACAGAATCGGTTGACCGGCTCCTGCAGAATCGTATCAGAGCGCTACACGTCGCCGCTCTCGTTCTCGCTGTCGCAACCCTCATATCCGTTTTGGCATCTTGCTACGTGATTACAAGGTCTGCATCTTCCTTCTATCCTTTTTAACTCATACATTTACACACACACACACACACACACACACACTCACACTTTAATTTTTCATTTACATCGATCGTATTTTGAAAGAAAATTCTCGAAAAGAAATTAATATCAAGTTATCTCTTGTTTGCACATTTTTTTAAATTCATGTCTACTATGGTCAAAAAATGTTGAATAAGGTAGAGAAAATTAGAATTGGAAAAATAAATAAATTTCAAATAAAAGGAGCAAAAGATGATATATTTATAATAATGAAATAAATAAGTATTATCAAGGTATGTGTCACTGTACAAAGAGATGTCGATGCGTAACATCGCAAAGCTTCATGCCATCTCTAATTAACATTGGATATAATTAATGATCGTTGAAGATAAATCTATTCGAAAGCAGCCTTGATAGAGCGCAGAGACCACCCTGTGTAACAGATCATGAACATCGAGGCCACACGACGAGTGTATACGTTTGTGATAGTCACTTACACAAACATCGCGACACAAAACTCGTTTTTCCCACGTGCATAAACGTGGTAAAGCGCTTCGCGATTTCTCAAATAACAAATCCGGTTGTATACTTTCTATTAATATTGTTATTTCATACGTATATTACGTATATCGCTTGATGCACGCAGACATACGATTGTGATATTATAAGTTATATTTAATAGCTCTCTTGAGAAACAAGGGATCGCATTGATGTTTTTATTATTGGTGTTTCTATTCTAATTGACAGCATCTAATTTTTGCATTTTAGATTCATTTCTTATCATCGATTCTGTTTCTTTTCACTCGGCTATTTCGATCGCGCTTCTTCAGGATAGTTTGTCGCGATGCATTAAAAGCCGCCCTCTTATCAGTCTACCTCTCGACGAGGGGTCCGATCCCAAGCCTTCACTTCACTGAAAACCGTAGATAGCACGGCTCGGAGGCTTCTCACAGATCTACCCTCTAATCTTCGTTCTCCGAATGGTTAAGTGGATTTTCGAGTTCGGGAATGTCTCGGTTCGACCCACCTCATATACACCTTGGTAAACGCGTGCATCGTTAGTCTCTTATTCTTTTTATTCCGAAGTGGATGGTATCGCACGCGATCTCCACGCATTACATTCTTCGTTGATTTCTTTGCATTTTGCACAATAAAGATAAAGATACTGAGCCATTTTTGAAAAAAAAAAAAACGCTTTATTACAATAATTTAATCGCGTGATTTAAAACTGTACACAATATTGCAAAATCTAAGTACGACACTTTTCAGAAATGCAACATTTGACAATAAAATAAAAAATAAAGTGTATAAATAAATATTTATTTCCGATATGATAGTTAATAATATATTAATGTGCACTAGTAATGGATAACAATACATTTTTTCCCATATGCTGTACGCGATATTCAATAAATTTAAGACTATTTAAAATTTTATATTCATCGTTCTTCACCTGATAGAGATATCGATTCTAATATATATACACACACACACTTGAATCGAATGTCATCCTAACAAGTCTTATAATTAATTCCTTTAAATATTTTGCATCGCTAACGACCATTTCAGTTCCACACGTTTTGTGTTAAAAAATTGTTTTCCATCGCATCGTTCACGGTTTCTCTAATTCCTCAGCATATCCGAATAAACTTGTGGGAAGTCGGGACAAGATCCGGTTTTAAATAGACCGGAATCTCCGGCATAATGCGTATCGAATTGATTTTTGATCGTGATTTATATGCAGGAAATCCGATAAGTTAGACCTAAGAATAAGACCCGTGACGAAATAATTTTCACTACCTACATATTTTTATTTCTTAACAAGTACGTATCGTGACAAATTACAATATTTGTCTATAATTTAAGATACGAAACAAATTTTATATGCAGGCGCTATAAAGAATATAATAAATATGTAAATAATAAATATTTTTTGTTATAGATTTCTCAGACATAATCGTTACACAATGGACACTGTAAATTATTCATGAATAGGAAACTTAATTATCGTTGGATACGGTAAACACTACACGATTCGGTAAGGGATGGTGGGTTTTTTTGGCATAAATTAAAAGGTTATAGGTAAAGTATATCACCGTTATATTTATTACTGTCATTACGTTACAAAAATTTGAAAATATAAACTTAGAATATTATAGTAGAGAATAATATGCAACTGCGCAAAATGCGATATAATATCTTTTATTTTGCTTAAAAATTAGTGTTAAACGTGTTTGTTCATGTTTGTTCATGTCCGAGGATATATAATTCTCGTTTCAATCATACGCCGCTGATCAACTAACGAACGGAAAATATAAATAGAAGTCGACCGTGCGGGAGATAACTGCTGCCGACAGGCAGGCCGAGACTGTATTACAGCGATTTTTTGTTACGCCCGCTGGATAGCTTTCAAGTTCCAGCAGTAGCGTCGCAGTGGCTGTCAGATCACGAGCGATCGAATATCACGCGCTAATAATATTATCTCAGCGAATGCTATTAATTCTTGGCAGTCGGAACGACGTACGGTGTATGTACCGTAACACCAATGGATCTCAGGTTCGAAGTTGTAAACGAAACTGCCAAATTCATTTTAATTATGGGTTAACTCATAGGTTGCATATCATATACATCAGGTAGAATACGTTATACATATTTATGATAATTAGGAAAAGACTTAATAATTGTTTGCATGAAACTCTTACGATCTAAATTAAAAAAATTGTTTATATTTTTAATCGTATATTAAATCGTGTGTTCGAGATTGCAATCACGTATATATGTATAATCGTTAGTATATATTTACGCGAAAATGCATTCGTTGCACATCTTAAATTACACGTTTCACCGAATAACGAAACTTTGCTTATCTTTATTTAGAAATACTGGGTAATACAGGAGGACGACGTCGACTCGTCGACGAACGAATTCGAGATGCAAGAGTGTATATTTGACAAAGCTTCCTAAAGAGCAAACTGACTACTACGCTGGCATCCTTTGTTTTACATCGTATGACTAACGGCGGGCCATGTAGCTCAAATTCCTTGTTGCCATCGAGTGAGTTCCTCGAAGGGCGGCCGGCGTGCCAGGTGCTCCAGGCCTCGGACTCCGGGCCTCGGCTCCATCTCCGGTTGTTTCAACGTAATTAGTCATCCTCCAGGTTACCGAACACACACGCACACACACACACACACACACACACACACACACACACACACACACGCACACGCGCGCGCCTCTTACCGATCAAACGACTAACGGCGGAGAAATAACGTATGTGCACGCCGAAAGTTTTACATCCCAAACGCGCTAGGTCATCGTGAGAACGAGTTTCCATCTAACATAAATAAACGCACTGACGAAGAAAAAGACATCGTGACGTCGCAAGTACAGTGAATCCTCTGTAAGTGGCGTGATCGCGCGAGCTTCTCAAATGTGTACTAGATACATAAAGATGCCAGAATAAGTGTCAAGAATCGCGCATGAATCTCAATATATTTCAAACACATCAATGATTATTGTATATAAGTGAAGATTAGCTACTGAATTGACCGGTGTGACTGATACTACAGATACTGTTGCGATGTTTTTATGTATATATATATATATATATATATATATATATATATACATACTATAATCTGTATCACGTGTATATACCAACACAAAGAATAGTATAAAAAAATCAGGAATCAGGTTTTAGAATTTTGTGAAAACTATATTATATTGTAAAATATATTCATACTGTGCGATATAAAACGCATGGAATAAATTAATCGTATTATATGAAAGAGCATATGTATCATGGTAGCAAAAGAAATTCTGTTTGACGATCGGTGGCAAAAAGCAGGCAAAGACACGTCGCGTCGCGTCGCGTCACACTACTTTGGCGACAGGGTTCAGGCGCCACCGTCCCCTTCCACGTTGCAGTTCTCACCAACTTTCCGCCGACAAACCGCACGCATACACATTTCACATTACTTATACATGTACGGCGTCGACTGATCGGATGCTATGCTCTTGCGTACTATGCTGTTGACGCCGCGCGCGCTATTTACTTTTGGAAAAGTAATCGAATTTCGATACGACGCGTTGGCCTGATTAATCTCGATACACGAAATATACATGTAGAATATATATAATGTAGAAAATTTTCTTTGCAGAGTTTTAAACTGTTAAAAGCGAGAATCTAAATATAGAATCTAAATACTCACCGGTGCTCTCTCTTTTTGGCGCAGCCTCCTCTTTATACAGAAGCATAAAGAAATATTGAGAAAATTGTAGCTATAAAAAAGCGCGAGAATGGAGAAATAATTGTCCATGGTGTTTATGTAACAAGTTGAGCGACATGTCATGTGTATATAGAAAGAGCGCATGTATCGCATGCGGTCGGTAGTCGGTAGCACGAGATATAAGCGGTTTTTCCTTAAAAATCATTCGAAGCGAGCACTCGCGGCTGCTCCTGGCTCCCGGCTCCTGGCTCGCAAACGGGCCGACGCCGCGCCGGGCGCTCGCGGCGCCAAGCGCCAAGCGCCAAGCACCGAGCACGTTTGGTTCTACGGCTCTCAGGTGGCCGGCGCGAAACACCCGCCGAGCCACCGAGCCGCCGAGCTGCCGAGCGCCGAGCCCCGAGCGCCGAGCGCCACGAGTCGAGCCGAATGAGCCAAGAGTGAGTCAGTCGTCACGTCAGTCAGTCGCCGGACGTCGTTGGGGTTTGGTGGGGTGGCGTGTCGCGCGTCGACGCTCCGCTTTGCTCTCGGATCATCGTGCTCGTTATGCACGGCGCGATAACCGAACGCGCGAAATCGATTCGCCCATCGTGACAACTCGACGATGATTGGGATACTCTAACTCGAGAAAAACACATGCCTGATTTTTGGAAATTCAACGATAAACACGACGATAAACGCGAGGACACGTCGTGTCAATGCGCCGCCGCTTGGCGCCAGGAAAAACTTCCCGCGTGAATCCTATCTCGAGATCTCAAACCGATTTAGAGCCAAATTACTCGCTTATTCAGAATGTTGCCGCGTGACGTATTTACTATCGCGACGATGATGGGTCTCGTCGTTGTTGTCAGCGGTATACCCACAAATTTAGATCCGGAGGATTACGAGAGGTTTGCTGACGATGAGGAGCGATCTATCGATAAAGGTAAGGCATCTATCTCTCCAAGTAAATGAAACGGCTACTTTATGGTGGCTCCGTAGATCGTAGATGCGCGATGTTGAAATAATTTACCGACGCGAAAATGCGAGCGCGATGAGCCTGCACGCGACGTACCGAAAATTCACGCAAATTATACCTTAATTAAACTTATCGTTACCATTCTTGCGCGACATTATCATTCTTCGCTTTGACACTTTAAATATATCACTTTTGTTTCGTATGTAAGACTAAATGTAAGATCTGTCAACAAACTTGTCCTCGGTAATAAGTTTAACGTTAAGTTTACACGTAATACGATGAATAGGTTCTTTGTCGATGACGCGTTTGCTGCTTCTTCTTCGAGAGATCTCAATCTCTGGTTGAATTATTTTAACGCAGATGTAAATATAATAACACCTAGTCCAAAGTTGACTATCAAAAGTTGAGACATACTTGCGTGCAAATGATCGCAGGAAACACGGCGCGCGCACGTGCTCAGGTGGCGGGCGCGCTTGCTTTACTAATTCTCGTGAATTTAGCAATCGTATCTCTTTAAGAAAGAGAAAACACGATGGCTTTTGCAGTAGCTCAATTATGCATCTGTGTGAGAGAGTCGCGTTAGATCCAAGGATATAATGAAATTTTCTCTTTATGAGCTAACATTTGCGAAGAGGTAGTGATTATCGAACCACAAATGTAACGGCAATCGTATTTTCGATGCGTTTCTTTCGAGATAAGATGAACGATCGGACGCGCGTACGCGCGTTTATCAATATAGCAATGCAATGTAAATTTTAAATCGATTCGTCACAATTGTTTCTATCTTGACACAAGGAAAATGTGAATATTTTTTAAATTAAATCAGTCTATCGAACATCGGCGTGTAGTGGAAGAGACCCACGTGCCCCTTCCAAAAATACTCGGCGCCAAAGAATTTGTCGGAACAATTCAGTTGCAAACAAACAAAGGCTATTACGCGATGGTGTAAACTATCTTGAAAGGGGGTCGGTCGTCGTTCGTGGAATGCTCGACACGAGCAATAAAATCGTTTACTCGAATCGAACGCGAGCGAATGTTCGACGCGTACATACACGTGATTCATGATCGATCGATAGATTTACATCCGCGAGAGAGGCGCCTGCTTATTTACGCGGCCTGCCGCGCTTTTTTCTAATACTTCACAATGAATCGCATCCGAAACTGCTTCCGATTGGCAAAGTATTTGCACATTTTCGTTACGTATCAGTGACGATGTAGCTCGATAATGTACGATTTCACGTCATTTTTCACTTAATTTACTTATGTGCGATTCCGTTTTTCGTTTTCTTCAAGTCTCACTTCAAGTCTCGTACAAACAACTAGATAAAAACGGTGCAAAATGCGAGCTAATAATTTTGAAATTTCGCCGTTCGCACGATAGCGAAGCTAGAAAGACGATAAAACATGCCAGGCGCCAGCTAGGCGCGTGGATAGTGGAATACGTAGTGCGTTATACCTATATGCATGATAAATACCGACACGCTTGTTGCACGCACGTAGAACACATTGTTGCATCACGTCCGCGCGCCTCGTATTCTCATTTCCTCTTTGGATAATCTTAAAAACTAAATGGACTTTTCAGCCTGCCTGACGAACGGTGGACTAGAGTTTTTTTTTTT